GAGAGAGAGAGAGAGAGAGAGAGAGAGAGAGAGAGAGAGAGAGAAAAGGAGAACAGTGAAATGAACTGGCCGCATAAACGAGCGCCGTTACTCACCTCTCTCGCCCGGGGAAAACTCTCGGCGAAATGAAAAATTTAACGTAGCCCCGCGGTTATCGTCGAGATCCGGCCGGCTGACAAATTTCGGCCATCCCGACGTGCTATCAGCCGGCTCGATTCCCCACCATCGATAATCTCTCTCTCCCCCCTCTCTCTCTCTCTCTTTTTCTCTCTCTCTCCGCTCGTGAAATTCAACGGTGTCGACGCGAATTTATCGTCCATCGACAATCTCGCGGCCTCGTTAAGACGCATTTATGGCACACCGCCGCTACACGTCGATGTCACACGAGTGGATTCGAGTGTAATTTGCGAATGGCGATTGCGAGCCATCAAAAATTCGCACGTTAACTCATGATGATACACCGTTATTAACCCACTAACGATACGCTTAGCGAGAACTATTAATGATCCTCTTCATCCTGGTACTCTAAATTTCTTGGAGTGAAATTTCACTCAAAAAGTAGAGTGGATGAACGCCAAGTAACTCATGTAGATCTGAATTTTTTATAGTTGAATTATATATGATATACGTGATATATACTTGTAATCGTGATTCAACTGAAAAATTCACATCTAACTCCAAAATCAAATCAGAGTATTCCATTTGAGACAAGTTTCAAGTAACTACTATTAATACGAGTCACAGAGTGAATTTATCCATCCTGAATTGTCCAGTCAGAATACTCTGGTCGAAATTTTAGCTCTACTTTGATCTGATAATACACATGGTATGCCACTTGTAGGTTCTGAAGAAGGCTGCTCAAAGCAAAGCCAGTAGGTGAAGTACAATCAAAAGAGATTGATATAGAGTATCAAAATAGACGTTAAATAGAACATTGAGGTCGAAAGTAAGATCCAAATTTCGACTGGTATTTTCAGCCGAATTTGAGAAGTGAATGTCCTCCAGTGTCATTCTAATCGATTAAAAAATCCTCTCATATGAAGTCAGAATCCATTCTAAGTATGAGTGAAATATTCACTCTTGCGATTTCGAGTGGCAATATTTTCGCTCTGTCACTTGGAGTGAAAATACTAACACTTTCCACTCATTTTGAGTGAGCCTTTATTCCAAGAAATTCAGAAAGTACATTGTACCTTTATCCTCTGCAAAGAACTTGAGCCATTTTTTATTGTAATGAGAGAAAACGCGTTTTCGTCGCGCGGGTGGCTTAACGCCGACCGATTTGCCATCTTCGATCGGCGAGCGGTTTGCGAAACGGACTGATAAGAAACGACGTTATGCGTGCCCGAGTAAAACGACCGTCGTGTCTCGAGCACGACGATTCGCGTGCTAATGAACCGGCCCGCTTGAGCTAAGTAAAATCTCGCGTGCCGGACAGGACTCTCCTCGGTGTAGTGGTGTGTCGCGTGATACAGGTTCTTTCAAAACGACGCAAATCACTGCGGGCTATTACCGCGTTCGCCGCGGAAATTCGACGATGTTATCGCGAACCGTTTCATTAAGAATTTCTTCTGCCTGGTCGCTTCCCTTTTCTTACTTTACTCTTTCTCTTTTTTTTTTTTTTTTTTTTTTTTTTAATCACCATCCTGACTCTGCTTCGTAATTTGGCTCTCGCGCCGTAATAGCTCAATCCGATGAGACGGTTTTGATACTCGACGAAAAAACGCGCTGATTCATGTGCTGAACGACAAAAACGCGAGCTTTTAGTTTAGTTTCTTCGCGAAATTTATTGAAACTTGTATACATTTTTTGGAGTGAAATTTCGCTCGAGAAATAGAGTGACCATCGAATCATACGATACTGAGTGATTCTTTTCACTAGTATAGAAAGTATAATAAATTCTCGATTCCGAATCATTTAAATATCAGTGAATCATTGAGTCAGTGAATATTCACTCTTGCAACTTCGAATAACGGTATTTTCATTATCGCTTTTTCTGCAGAAATACTGCCACTTTTCGCTCGTTTTGAGTGACACTCCACTCTCAAAAATGTAGAGAATAATACATTTTAATAGTATATTTGGAGTGATCGCGCTTCTTCTTCGCAACTCCGTCCGTGCGATTATCGCGATATGAAATCGTGCGACGATTACGAGATACTCATCGTTCTCGTGGTTCATCCCTCGCATCCCCTTTTCACCACAGGACAGATTACCGTCGTTCCACCTGACGTACGCGTCGCTACCGTAAAAAGCCTTACACTCGCATGACGTTGCGCGTAATCGGCCATTCTTACCGTAAATAGGGCCCGCTCATCGGCCCTACGCGCATAATTCTTTTTAACGCCGCTCGCGTTTTCGCCGGCAGTTTTTCCCTTTCGCGTACACTCACTCCTCGTGGGTACACACACGTGTACGTGTACACGTTTATGTGTACGCGCGTGTCTGAACATGCACGCGTTGTATGTGCGGCGGGTGTATGGCGGTGTGTGCGTGGGCCGTGTGCTTTAATTGCCACACCCGTTTCGACCCCATATTTCACCGTGTGTCAGCGGGCTTGATGTTTCCCCGCGGTAAACACGCACAGCCCCGAGGTCCACTAGCGCATTCGTCAGGGTCGGATTAAAAGGGCGCGCCGTATTTTTGCGTGAAATCATTTTAGTTTAACACCTCGCCTTTTATTCTCAAAAACCCCGAAAAATCGTGCCTGACGCGCGTTTTATCGTGAGCTGAAGACGACGAAAGTGTCAGATTCGCGATTCGCGTCTATTTCACACGCGAGCAATCTAAATTGCAAACGACTACCGTCGTTCGAAAGCTTCCCCGTCCCTGCGATGCGTGCACAGCTCTTTGTAGCCGCGCACAATACGCACGCAGAAAGCTCACCGAGAACATATGCGTTCGCGTGCACTTGCGATGCAACTCGCGCCGAGGGGGGGTGGCCCGTCGATAAACGTGGTCGTTAACGAGTTTTAAATCTTTTCCCTTCACCCGCATAGATGAAGAAAATCACCCTTCTCTTCTAGAAGACTTTCACCGCCATCACTTCTCCGTCTCGAGTTTCGAGAGACCCGACCTTTGTCTTTTTTCAAAAGTCGGCTCTCATTCGCGGCTTCGCGCGATGCGCTTGCGTCGAGAATAAAAAGAAAAGAGTGAACGAAAGCCGTCAGGGAATTCTTTCTGAGAGAGAAATTTGTTTTGTTTTTTCGAAATGTCGGGAGAAAGTTGGCGCATGTGGACGACGTGTCGCGCACAGCAGAAATATCTCGATCGCATAGCCGAAAAGTTCAGTTTATTGGCTTAGTCAGTTAGCGTTAGTCAACGTTGTCGGGACGGAAAGTTCGGCCATAAGCGAAATTTACTATTCAAATTCGGCCGAGTCGCTGCATTAGGGTGAATGTCTGCCTGACTATGCAACATGGCGTGACAAGTACGAGAATAGAACCGCATCGGGTTTTACGAGATCGCGTGATCACCGCCAGCAAACATCGTCTCTACCATGAATTTTCGTCGGACTACATGCGCCCGCCCGCCTTTATTTTACCCGATTCCCAACTCTGATTTCTGCCGCGCGTCAGATTATCTTGTATTGTATCTTGAGAAAAAGCACCGTGGAATGCATCTTCGCGAGGGGGCGAGCGTTTTACGCGCGCATAAATATTTAGTTTTACAGCGACCGCCGTATCCGCGCCCGACTAGCAGTACCATCTAACGTAAATCGTATTGAGTATGATTGCAGAATGCAAATCTTGCGTTCCTTGAATCATTGTCGTAATTTGGGCGACGGCGCAGTAATTTTATCTCCAAACATAAAATGACCTTTCTTTTTTTAATATAATTTACGAAAGCAATTTGCAAATTTAATTAAAACCGATGTATCACGTTGCTTCATTTATTGCTTGAAAAAATATATTTCTATTTTCAATAATTGCTCCTCAATCCTTCAAATCGGAAATCTCCCGTCGCGTAATAAATGATTTTACACACTTGGAATTAGTGAATCGCTGTCCACGTTTCGGCATCCTGCGTCTTCCATCCAAGTTGTTTCGTCGTGACATCGACTCTATACTGACACTCGCCTAGATACGATTCTGATCGCAAATTAAGTTATGTTAGATTAGGTTGCGGAAAGTCAGATTAGTTTAGAATTAAGTTAATTTAACGCGTGTTAATTAACGCAGTATTGACAAGAGTCCCATTAAGTATCTCAAAAAACCGATAAAATAATTTAATTATTCGGATTATAAGCAACACACACACACAACGATACATGCGTCGCGATATGTTTATTGCTCGAAACGTAATACTTTAGTCGTGATTTGGTACGCGAGCGACCGACGATAACTTTGACCATTCTGAAAACGTCGATTGTTGTCATCTCTCTGTCGACCGCTAAATACGAACGTCGTTTTTCGGAGGCTGACGCACTTTACCATTCTCGGAGATTGTTTCCGTTCGTCCGAGTGTCAACTTTCCTGTGAACGACTGTGTGACCTCTTACGTCTCTCGATCCGACAAAGAATATGCAAAGTACTGTTACACGCATCGCTGTGTTGGTCATTATTCCCGCAGCGCTTCTCTCATTCAAATATTTCGTGTCTCAAGGCACGTCGTGACCTCACTGGACACGACGAATTGTGGAACTATGTCTTATACACTCTTCCCCCGCATTTTCTGTACTCGGCAAGCAAAAGAGAGCAAATGTCTAGTGCAACGACCGACGGCCATTTTGTCGCTACATTCGCGCCGAGAATATGGCGCGCGTTCCGCGCAAAGTAATCGAGCTCTCATCGTTAATTAAAGCGCGTTCCTTCGTTTGAATCGTATCTACGCAAATGTCAGTGTTAGTTGAATGCCGTAAAAAAGTACTCAGAGTGTCACGACGAAGTAGCCGAGAGAGCCAAAATACATTGGAAAGTCGGTATATATATATATATAACAATACGACAGAACACACAACAATACATCTTTCCAGGTGTGTCGAATCATTCATTGTATCAAGTTTAACGTGAAACTTGCAGGGTAAATGCGGAACGAAAATTTCGTCTCGGCTTGCCTGCCGGCGAAGCGAAGTTTCTCACGGCGCCGCTAATTTTACTGCGACATGCTCTATTAATACTAACCATACTGCACGTATCGTGAAAATATAGTGGCGGACATGTCCGGCTACGCCGACGTTATGGAAATTCCGACGCGTGCATTGCTAAATATATCAGCGCGCGGTTGCCGCTTGCTGCTTCCTGCGGTTGTTCCCGCGGTTAGAGAAACACACGGAGAGTCTTAATAATTGCATAATCGAATTCATACTGATTTGCATCGGTGAAAAAGAAAGAGGAAGGGAGAGAACGGAAAAGAGAGATAGACAGAGCAGCATTGATTTCGGTTATCTTACAATTTAATAGCTATCTCTCGAGACTAGAACGAACGTCATTTCGTTTCAGAATAGAAGGATAGAAACACAGGGTGTTGCAAAAGTATATCAACATCAAGAGAAGCGTCAGTAATTTTTTTAGACGCTTTCTGAAATAACAGTCGAAAATACAAAAATCAACATCGTCGGCTGCTTCGTCTGCGGTAATATTTGCCGGCTGATCAACTCTTAGTGTTAGCCAGTCACTTGTAACTTCGAAGCTTTACAGAAATTAAAAAAAATCAGCCTGTGGAAACGCGACTCACTATAGCTTTTCCATCCAATTCAGCGACGTTTTGTTCGTTCCTCACACTTTCCTCTCATCCGTCCTCCTCTTTCCACCTACCGCGTCTCTTTCTCTCTCTCTCTCTCTCTCTCTCTCTCTCTTAGTCTGACACGTGCAACAGCCGACGAGAACGGGGTTGATCCACCCCACGGGTCTCGTGCGAAGAAAGGAACGAAGAGGAAGAGAACGACGAGAAGCCACACTGTGGATCGAGAGACAAGAGGGCGAAGGAAGAGAGTGAGAGGAGGGGGACGAAAGGGGGTCGTCGGAGGAGCGGAATCCATTTCGAAATTGCAAGCCACCCTGTTCGATCCCCCTTCTTCACCGCTTCCTCTTCTCGTATCCCTCCCGTAGCCTTTTCCCGGCTCCTTCCCTCAGGAAAAGCCACTCCCCCTCTCACTTTCTCTCTCTCTCTCACACACACATACACACACACACACACACACACACACACTGTCTCTCTTTCTCTACCTCACTCTATCTGGCTCTCTCCCTTTCGGGAGGCAGCGTGCTCGCCTCGAATACTGATATCGAGCAAAGTCCTTTTTCCCTTAAACCGAGCAGCCACCAGGAATAATGCATTATACGTACGCGTCCTTCGTCTCTCGTTTTTTCCTCCCCTCGTCGTCGCTCGCCTTTTCCTCCTCTCTGGCCTCGGCTACTCCAGTTCGCGCGCTTACCTCACCGTCTCGCTGATCTCGCTTCGTCCTTTCGTCACGCCGGCGAACTCGCAATATACTCAAATTTTTTCCGACGTGATCTCCTATATTTTTAATTCATCGTGCATCTTCAGTGATTTAGCTCCGGCGCGTCTAACGGCCCTGTCTTTGTTCGTTTCAGGCATGTAATGAGTTCACCACCCACGTAATGAATTTATTGAGGGAACAGAGTCGCACAAGGCCAATCACGCCGAAGGAGATCGAGAGGATGGTGCAAATCATACACAAGAAGTTCTCTAGCATCCAAATGCAGCTCAAACAGTCCACCTGCGAGGCTGTGATGATTCTGAGGAGTCGATTCCTGGACGCCAGGTTTGTGTCGAGGATTCGTGGCAACGATGCGCGTGCGAAATATTGGATTGTCCGGAAAGTTCATGCCGCCTCGGACTTTATTGACCGTGACATGAACTTTCCGGACGACTTGATACGTTCGATTCGCGTCCATTCTCACGTCATTGCCGTGTGTTTTCTCGATCGAGACTCAGAAGTAAAATCCAGTTGTGATTAATATCTGCGCGAAATTACTCCTGTTGCAGACGTAAGAGAAGGAATTTCAGCAAACAGGCGTCCGAAATCCTCAACGAATACTTCTACTCGCATCTTAGTAATCCTTATCCGAGCGAAGAAGCCAAAGAGGAGCTCGCACGAAAGTGTGGCATTACCGTAAGCCAGGTATCGTTCGCCACTTTCTTTTGTACATATTAAACGACGCTAACTTTTGCGTCTTATTATAACCCGCTGGTCATCGTAGCTCCTAATTTTTCAAGTAATTTTTCTTGACGCCTTTAAACTCTCATTGAGATAGATCTATCTCTCATAGAGATAGATATCTATCTCTTCATTGAGATAGATATCGTGTATACGTAGAACTGAATATTTTTAATGACTCTAGTGTTCGCTCATAGCTCGATCTTGAATATAAAAGCAAATTATGTAAATGTTACGTGAGAACTATTATCTATTGAGCATTAAATCAATGCTTGCTGTTTCGATTCGATCGACAAGTTTGAAATAAACGCGCATTCTTGTTTTATGTGCTCTTAGGTATCTAACTGGTTTGGTAACAAGAGAATACGCTATAAAAAAAACATAGGAAAAGCACAAGAGGAGGCGAATCTATACGCCGCCAAAAAGGCAGCTGGTAAGTTCCAACGTTCGCTAACGAGCGACGGGTGTTCCTTCGTGAGTTCATTTCGCTCAAAACGTTAGACAAAATCCTTTAACAATCATACGAAAAAAATCATACGAAATCGCTTTATGGAGTATTCATGCGCGCGAATATCTCCGTGATTGAGTGAGCAAAATACGCCTCGTTATCCAGAATAGAATAATCGAAAGCTATGGAAACGCGAATGGCGCGCTTTGTAAAATTTCTTCCGGAGCGCTTTTGTATCGCTACCGTCTTTTCTATTTCTCGATGGTCTCGAGCTTATCGCTTCTCTGGTCGCGTCGTCGTTGTCGCCGCCCCCGAACTTGGTGGAGGCAAAGCTCTCTTGCAGAGCGAGGTGAAAAAAAAAAACGGGTGACGCGAAAGTTTCGCGAGTTTCTCGCGATCGATAATGGACGAGTCTCTCTCTCTTTTTCTCTCTTTATCTTCCTCTTTGTTTCACGCGCGTTCCGTTATCTTTTTATGCGTCAAAGTCGGAATCAAGGGGAGGGGGAGGGGGAGAATCTCATTATTGTAAATCATTAGGCGGTTGAGTTACCGCTCATTGTTCGGTCGCAACGGTGACACCGCCGCTATCGCGGTCGTCGATAAATCGTCGCGAGAGAATAAATCTAACGATACCGATTGCCTCCTTGGAGTGGTTCGCGTTCAAGGAAAATCACCTAACGAAAATAAACCTCCGTGGGAGCAGGTGAGGGGGATCGAATCGCGGAATCTAGTAGAGGAAATAATCAGGCTGAAATGTGGCGGACAAGATGGAGGATCGACGAGACACGTCTCGTGCTTTCCGCGCATCTTCTCAAAAATTCAAAAGTTTTCGAAAGGCACCAGCAGCCAGACAGCATGTAGATGAGACCATACGAAATTTTCTCGTTACATCTTGCGACGAGATAGACGCGCACCACCGTCTCTCACGTCTTCGTTCCCATGCCGCTTGCTCTCATCCTGTTCCTCCCCTGCCTCTCTCGGCGCGATCTCTTTCCCCCTCGTGCTCGTGAAAATTGCAAGAAAAACTCCCGGCCCGGTCCTGAAATTCCACGGATTCGCGGATCCCACCCTGGTCGCAATTACGTGCGCTTCGCTTAACTACCGAGGCGTCTCACTTTATTTTGGGCGCCGGCGTGAGATATTTTTAACTCACCAATTATACGGGAGAGAAGGAGAGGATACGAGCTAGAAAACTACGAGAGAGAAAGAGAGGAATATATGGAAGGAGAGAGAAAGAAGGAAAGAGAGGAGAGACGGCACAAGGGGGAAGCAGAAGGTACGATGGAGATTCCGAGCTTCTCGCATTTCTTTCAGCACTCTCTGCATTTGTCTTTCCTCGACCACGTTCACGATGAAACGACCCGCGGTTCTCTCGTAATTAAAGAAACGGAATTCTAACGACCTCGCCTCTCTCTAGCCAGCGCCGCGAAACAACGTTCGTCTCGAATGACGCGAAAGTTTTACAAGCAAAGCGGGGAATACCCGGCTTTGGAACGCCGCTGCCACCGTCGCGTTTCTACAAATTACAGAATAAATTACGAAAAGAATCTGATTTCTGCGACGAGTCAAAATCCGCTCTTCATATCCAGACGCAATAGCGTTCTTAGTATCCAAGCTCGATTTGTCCTTTAGGTATTTCCGTAACAGGATTAAACTTGTCGCGTGACGGTCGCGTAGTACGTCATTTGTCAATCAAAGAAAAAAAGAGAAACGGAGAGCGTAAGCACTCGAGATTCAGAGAGAAACAGAGAGAAACAAATGATCGTTGTTGGCTGAAGAACTTAAAAAGACGCACCGTCCAACTTTGTATGCACCGCGATTGTTTCTACAGCAGCTTTTGCAGGAGCGTCGCCGTATAGCATGGGCGGTGCAAGCCAAGGCACGCCGACGCCAATGATGTCGCCTGCGCCTCCCGGTGGGCCACAGGATATGGCTGGATACAGCATGGGAATAAACGGCAGTGACTACGGCTCGCAGGCATACAACGACGGCTCCATGGGATACGATCCCATGCACCAGGTAAAGACTTGTAGCACCTCCTGCGCGACATACAAGATATTCCTATATGTATGTATATATTGTTGCGACCACGCTGATACCCGTGTGAGCGTAATGATATACATACATATGTATATATATATATATATATATATATATATATATATATATATATATACATACATATATATTGATGGGTAGCCTCTTCTCATTAACCGACCCCGACGTAGTAACAGTACGCAGCCCGCTTTCTGGAATCTGCATTTGCGTGCACTAAGCATGAGCTTGCTCTCCAATCTTGCTGCTGTATGCTGTGGTTTGGAAATCACGTGGTTGGCGCCTATTTAATATGCAAATGTAATTCCGTCCGAGAGAAGGGCGAGCTGAACTATTAAATAATAACGAACTTCCGCGATTCGCCCTTCACTCTCGTTGATCTTTGAATATTCCAATTGACTTTTATCGCAAAGTTTCATCGAGACAGAAGGAATTTGTCTGTATGAATTATTTTCGCGAATTTAATTGGGCGTTACCGCGATAGAAAGTTTTATTCACTTTTTCTTCTATGAATGTAGAGAATTAAATTTAACATTGATCAAAATTCGATATTGCTAACGTAGCAGATATTATCTATCGCGGAGCCGCTTCTCTCCCGGTTTTCGGACATTAAAATCTGCTTTTTTTTTACGCCTTTTCCATGTATTTCTAAACTACAATACTGTAGGTTATTAAACGCATGTGCATTTCACCTTCAGCATACTTACACTAACGGGATGAAGAGAAAGAGACACTAGAGAGTGAAAGAGAAAGATAAAGAGAATAAGAGTGCAAGTAGAACAGAGTGGAAAAACGACTGGGTGAACAAGATACTAATGAAAAAATCTGTTTGAATGTCCGAATGGTATGGTATCATACACAGGGTATCTCGCGTAAGTCAATTCGAGTACAAAAAGAAGAAAATATCTGATAAATGAGAGCGAGGGGTATGTTTTGAGTGTATCATGTGCGTGAATTGAATCCGATATTCTCTAAGCATTTTCTCAATTAAATTTCCCGACTTAGGTCTTTTTAGTGCTATGTAGAACGGGTGATTTCATACGTACGAAATCGCCCCCTTCGCCCTGTCTATGTGCATGCGTGCGTGTGTGCGTGAGCGAACGAGTGTGTGCTCGAATGTGGGATGCGCGCGTGTGTCACTGCTGAGAGATGTATGTGTGTATATATAATATATATATATATATATATATATATATATATATATATATATATATATATGTATACATATAGTAGGCTGGACACACACACGTTGTTTCTCTGGTTCGTAAAGATGGCCTCGAGGACGCCGACAGTCGTGGGTGCGCAGGGTGTGTTGGGTCGAAAAGGGGTGCTGCACAGCACATTCACACAAATACAAACACACGTACACGAGCAAACTATACATGAATACAGGCACACATTATACACGTTTCACTAACACTCTCAGCTAGCCGCCGATAACGCCAGGTTTGCTTAGTATGCATTGGAGTTGCTAAGTCACTTTTTAGGTAGGGTTGGTTCTCTCTCTCTCTCTCTCTC